TCAATCAGATGACACTGAACAAACTTAGGGACACCCAAATCATCAACTTCAGGTTCCTTTTGTGCTTCTCGACTCTTTTATCTAAAAATTTATTTAGTTCTAGGTGTTTTAAGTTTTATTTGGGTTGGAACATAGGAGAGGGCGGGAGTGACTCCTATAATTCTGTTGTATTATTGAATCAGTTGAGTAAGGTTTATAAATATGTGACTAATTCTGGGCTTGTTTCCATGGCCCCAAGTATGAAGAGCCAGTATGTTTAACAAGCTAAATGCAGCAACACTGGAATGGATTGCTTTGGCCAAACTATAGGCTATGCCAAAAATATGATGCAATATAGAAGCAAAAACTATCCCACTGAAAAGAACAGTCATCAACTTGTTCATGTTTTAATACAGTTGAATTTCCTGGTCTTATATATAGGCAATCTAAAAAGAAAATGGTTGCGGCTGAGAAGCCAAAACATATATCAAGGCAAAGAAGGATGCACAAAAAAATAGTAACTGGGGGCAGAATCATACAAGCAGCACTTTTCTACTCTCAATACCAACAGGAGTTATTAATCTTCTGTGCCTGGCTCCTAGAGCCACCAATAGATGAGACACACCATGTTTGTTCTGTGTTAGACATACCTGGTTCTTTTGTCTTTCATATCATCTTACATACATCTTACATGAGAGACCTTCAAGCTCATTTCTTATTTTTTATTTTGAATGGATTTGGCAAGTATGATTGGTGTTGAAGCTACTGCTTTTGTAGTGCTTCATAACTACATCAAGTATTCTCAAGAGACTCCCCTTACCTTGACGGGGACAGAAGCCCCCTTGGATCACCTACATATCTTGCTGCTTCCACTTACCACTCATAAAAAAAAATCACCTAATATTAGGGAAATGAATGAAACTACTCTTGATGAAACACAGACTAGTGAGAAACAATATTAATTAATCAGTGGGACAAAAAGGTGAGTTTTGTTCTATCTATCTTAACTATCTACAATACATTTGAATTATCTGGAAGAGCCAGTCTTAACCCTGTCTTCCACACCTTGAGGACAACAGAATGAGAAATTTTATCTCAGGTGAGGAACTAGAACCCATGAGAAGAGGAGGAATTATGAGAAACTCCTAGGAGGACTAGGAAGAAACAGGAGCTGGGCAGTTAGTAGTAGTTATTTAGGATACTCTCCTCCCTGCCCTCTTACCAGCACTGCCTTTTCTTTCTGACTATCTGGATCCCAGTAGCCTACTCCCACTCCATTTTGCCTGCTGTAATTTCTTCTTCCTCTGTCTTGCCTCTTCCTGGCATTACTTAACTGCTATTTTACCAACCTGAACCTTGGATTAAACCTAGCTCAGGTAAGAACTTAATTACTTTCAAAATATACAAGGGATTTGGGGGGGCGGCAGCATGGGTACAGTGGAACAAGAATCAGAAGTCTAAATTCTATTTTCGTTTCTGCCACTTGAAGCTATGTGACCTTCGGCAAGTCATTTCTCATTTCTGGATTTCACTTTCCTCATCTGAAAATGAAGTAGAATGTAAATGAACTCAAAAGAGTCTCTAGTTCTAACACAGATTTTCTTCTTTTTCTCGTGAATCAGAATATACAGTATGGGAATACTGGAAGCCAATAGAATGTTTACATTGCTGAAGTTTAAGAGCCCCTACCATTGGTTCTCACATGGAATAAAAGCTGCTGTTGTGGGAGCCAGTATTGATTTTGAGATTTTAGTGGACACAGAAGAAAACCTTGCACATACATAGTGAGCCCTCAAGTCACTAAGAAACATCCTGCTTAGGCATAGATCAAACCCCATGAGAATAACAGCTCTTCCAAGGAATAAAACTATATCATGAAGGTTGCTGGACCCAGTTATTTTAAGTAGTGTCCAATGTAATAAAATTTGACCACCAATAAAATTATTGATGTTTTAAGACCCTTTAAACCTATTGTGGCTACAGTGTGCTGACTTGCCCTTTTATAGGCCAGTCTGCTTCCTTCAGTCTCTGCTCTCAAAGGGGAAATCTCATCACCTCAGCTAACCAGACCAAAGAAGAGAGTTGGACAGCCAATGGTGGCCTCTCCTAACCAGAGGTAAGAAATTTCAGGACTTGGAACTACAGTTTCCATCTGTTCTTGTTGATTCTGGCCAAATCCTCCTCCCAACCTCAAAATTAGTGCATGAGGAGACCAACCTCAGTTTGAGGTAGCTTGTAGAAGGGGAAAGGCTGGTCATATTATAGTTTCTAGCCAAACAAATAGGAGTATTTGGTATATGTGGTTCTATCCCACTGTTTAAGACCTTTGGACCACATGGTAAGCCCAGGAAGAGCCAAACAAGCCTATAGGAAAACAGCTTCTGAACATCTTGTTCTCTAATTAGCCCTAGATCTCTTCTCCCAAGAAGTGTGGCTGGTTGTGATGTCTTCCCAGTGGACCCTGTCCTGGGGTGAGGGATTCTGATAACACTGCATTTGTCTATTCATCCTCAAAGATTTGTCACCATTTGCCAACAGGCAGGTTCCTTCACCTTCACTTTCTCCTGTAGGAAATGAGAGGTAATTTGAAGTATCCAAAACTTAAGTGTGTTAAGGCCATCTCTAATAAACGGCAGGAGCCTGGGCTTTAAGACCTAAATTGGAAAACGTGATCGTGAATCTAATGATCAGACTGCAAACCTATTTTGTGATTACTTTTCACCTCCTGTTTTATCTTGATGGTATTGGTGTAAGTCCAAAGGAATTTGCCTAGTAGCAGAGACCTGATATTCCCTATAGGTTTAATCAGATCTCTAGGAGTAAGGCCTGGGCATAGCTATTTTTTTTTTAAAGCTCCCATACTCTAATGGGTAATCAGTATTGACCCTCTGATTTAAACTCTTGGTCTTCTATCCAGATTGCATGGATGATGAATCTGGCTTTCTCTAAAACCAACCCCCTGTTCTCTAGTTCCCCAGCCCTTATAGCACACAGTGTCTCAAGAAAAGTAAGTTTCTATCAGTAGTCTTACAGTAGTAATAACTGCTGCTATTGTTCTGTAGTAGAGATTAGTAGAAGGGAGACCTCATTTCCACACTGATCCTTCTTGAAAACCTTTGACACTTCTCTCCTAGTTCTCCTACTCAGGTCCTTCTTAGTCTTGGTGAATCCTCTTCCTCCAGTACCCCTTAAATAAATGTTGATGTGCCCAGGCCTCTCCTTACACTGTATCTTCTCCCCAGGTGATCGCATCCCACACTCCTGGATTTCATTCCACCCAAGTCTGAATCCCTAGCCCAGAGTTCTCCCTCTGAGCTTCATCCAGCTTCTTAACTGTGCTTCTCCATCTGAACATCCCACACACATTATACATTCCCCAATATAAGATATGCCTCTCCTCTTGTTTTTCCCTATCTTAGGTGGTACTACTAGCTACCAAGACTCTCAGGTTAGAAGACTGGGAATTCTCCTAGCTTATTTCCCTCTCCCTCACCCCACCCTTAATGAAGCACCTTATCTTTCCTCCTCTGTGGGTTTGGATACCCTCCACTTCTCTCTATCCTCACAGTCTGCCCTTTTACCCACCCCATTTCACTAGGCTGGAGTCTTCACCTTCAATCTCACTGTCCTCAATCCCATCCCCTACTCCCCCTACCAGAGTACTTACCTTGCTTAAAAGCTGAGTTGTCATAGATGGCTCCCCACAATTTGCTCTCAAGCCTCCAGCACTGCTAAGACACTTCATTTAGGCATACACCACTTTGTAAGAGGCTCAAAAATCTTTTGGAACAATAAAATATACATATCCTTGCTACCTGAAGTGTGATTCTGAGGACCTGCAGACCTAAGGGTCTGCATCACCTGGGATCTTATTAAAAACCCAGAATCTCAGGTCCCACCCCAGACCTACTGTATCAGAATCCTCATTTTAACAGGATCTCCAGGTGATTCATGTGCACATTAAAGTTTGAGAAGCACCGACTTATAAAATACAATTTTTTTTTTTAACGAGTGAGGAAATCAGCTAAGGGAAAATCTGATGAAGCCAGAACTGAAGTAATATTGATAAATGTGTGAAGTCAGGTGGTCTATACTTAATTTGGATGGGGGGTGGCTTGGTGGGAGTGTACTGATTTTGAAGAAGCCAAACAGGACAGCTGGATCAAGTGGAGATTTTTAATGTATATAGGTACTATACTTAGTACTTACTTTCTCATCATCTCTCTCCTGTCTTCTTTCATATCACTGTGCCTACATCAAAAAATCTTCTGAGGCCACAGTCTCTCTCACCTTCCTTCCAGAAGGCTAAAGACCAAGTCCTCCTCACCAGCTCCTACCCTTCCTTAGTTTCCTGAAATTAGCTCGCTGTGGCTGAGAGATCAAAGAGCAGGTCTCTCCTGTCCTCCAACCTTTATTCATCCTCCAGTCAGTCCAGGTGTCACTTCTTCCAGAAAGCCCAACCTCCTCCCTGACCTTCCCCTTCGTGCTGTGCACCAGGCTGTCAAGGCACTTTTCACCCTGTACAGTAATTGAGTAATGGGGAACAGTACACAGCAGTGCTGAAGGGCACAGGCTCTGGAATCACATATACTTGGATCTGAATCCCAGCTCCCCCTACTACAAGATATGTAACTTTGAACTTAACCTCTCTGGGCTTTAGTTTCCTCACCTGTAAAACGTGGCTAATAACAGTGCTTTGCGGTCCAAAACTGTTCAGAGGAATGGGTGAATTAATACATGGCAGTATCGTGTGCTGTGCCTCACCTGTCCCCAGCGCCCAGCTGTAAACAGTAAATAGTAAATAGCCGAGCAGCTGCAGCACACAACGGCAGGCTGGCCAATATTTTGCCCACAGAACTGGAGGCTGGGGCGGAGCCTGGGACTCCTTCCAAATTTCGAGGAGCTCGTGGCTTGCTCCCTTGCGGGTAGGGCGGGACTGTCAGGTTGAGTGACGGCGGGTGTCCCACCCCGGGCGTGACGTCGTTCTGGTGGTGTTGCTGCCGCCACATGTGGTTGACAGAGTCCGCTTCAGACTCAGCTGCGCTCCGTATTCTCAGCACCAGCCGCCTCCCTACCTGCTTACCCCGCTCACTATGTCCACATCCACGAGCTGCCCGATCCCCGGGGGCAGGGACCGGCTGCCCAACTGCTACAGCACCACGCCGGGGGGCATGCTATATGCCACTACCCCGGGAGGTCAGCGGGCTGGGCCCAGCTGGGGTCCGCAGGCAGCGGGCAGGCCTGCTCCTGCATGCTGTCGTGGGCCGGGGGTAGGGAAGTGCGGGCCTTGGACTCATCTGCTGGCCCCTTTGCAGGTTGTAGCTTTGCGGGTAGCAGGGGTATGTTGGGAGCCGAAGCCCAGTTCCCTAAAACCTCAAAGTGTTGCAACACGGCCTTGAGCCTAGTTTCCGGGTGACTGGGCTGAAATTCTGTGACCCGGGTTCTGGGCGCCTTGCTCACCTACCCCTCCCGACTTCCCCGCCTGGGGATAGGAGCCGAGGGCCCAACTAAGCATGGCCTCAGCAGGGAGCACCAGGTCTTGCAAAGCAGCTAGAGGGGGAGGGCAGTTTCGGGCAGTGGCCTCGGGTATCTGCAGCTGGCTGGCGGCTGTTTGGTTGGGCTAGCTAGCAGCCTGGGATGATGAGCTGGTGGGCTCCCGGCCCAGGGGTTCCTGCCATGTGGAGATGGAGGGGAGGGAGGAGAACAGGGCAGGGCCCTTGAAGACGTAATTAAGGCCAAGTTCCTCTAGGCTGGGCTAAGCCTGATAGGACTTGGGAGGGGTCAGGTTAAGAACAGTATGTCCCTGTGTTTCACTGGCAAAGGTAGGTGTCCAGAGGAACACAGCTCCCCTGCAGCATATCAGAGCCCAGGTGGCAGCACTGGGTGAAATGCCTTCACATCTGCTATTTGGCTTCCTGATCCAACTGAGCTTGGAGGGCTAGGCCCCTCCAAAGCAATTAAGTCTCAGAGCAGCCTGAAGTACCTGAGCTCCAAGTTTCATGCTCCTCTTAGAGCCAAGACCTGAAGCTCCCCTAAACCAAAAGCCCCTGCCTGGACCAGCTGGGATGACGCCCTCTTGCTTTATGGCGCTTAGCAACAACTTGGTTAGGCCCAGAAGTCTTTTAAGTGCTGTGAAGGCTAGTCAGCTGAGATCATGCTGGGCTGCAGAGCAGCAGCCTTTTAAAACACAGGGAATTGTAACCCCCAGGTCCCTAAAAAGCTTGTGCCTGGGGTCCCAGACAGCTCTGTACCCAAATTCCTGCCTCTTACCTAGCCACTACCCCTTGACAGGCACCAGGATCATCTACGACCGAAAGTTCCTGCTGGAGTGCAAGAACTCACCCATTGCCCGGACGCCCCCCTGCTGGCTCCCTCAGATTCCCGGGGTCACAACTCCTCCAACAGCCCCACCGTCCAAGCTGGAGGAGCTGAAGGAGCAGGAAACAGAGGAAGAGATACCTGGTAAGGAAAGCAGGACCTAAAATTAGGGAATGCCTCTGAGTCCAAATGCCCTGGTAAAGTAGAGTGGGGGTTCAGTTCCAAGAGGGGTTTCTGCACTGATGCTGAGCCTGCAGACCCTCAGCCCAGCAACCAGTCCTCCTGCCTTTTCTCTCTCCAGATGATGCACAATTTGAAATGGACATCTAATCCAGTGCAGATGACCGTGTTTGTGGAGTTAGAGGAATTCCGCTGCTGCCATCACCTCTTCCTGGGGTATCCAAAGGCCAGCTGGCCTCATCTAATCTGGAAGGGAGTGACTTGTTGGTTCTGGGCCTCTTTTAGTTCTGAGGCAGCTAGACCAGGGATAGGAGTGGGCAACCTGTCAAGCCCTTAACTCTACTTTCTCTTTGGTCTGTAGGCACTCCTCCCAACCCCCAGCCCTCCATGCTCAGGGGCTGAGGCTGGGATTGGGGGATGGAGTATGTCACTTTCTGACTGCTTAGTAAACATTCAGAAAAATGCCTTGGTTCCAGTGTTCTCCTCAATGCTGATCTTCCCATCTCAGCCACAGAGCTGAGGGCCCCAACAGACCTGGTTGGATCAGAGGTCCCAGGTCCCCTCCTAGCTCCCACTGGGCCTACTTTCAGCAAACTATAAACAGCAATAGCCTGACCTCTGCCAAGGGCTGTTCCAGCCCTTCCAGGAAGCAGCCGTTCCAGAAAGTAACCTTCCTGGAATCGGGCCTCTCTAGCAGTCCCTCCATATCTATTCCAAAGCAGGAAAAGAGAGATGCTGCCCCAGCCTTTAGCCTTCTCCTGTCTTTCCCCATGCTTTTTCTGCCTGCCACCTATAAGTACCAATCCTCTTATTCCAACACTGAAAACCTGTACCCTCCCTTCTCACAGCATAACAAATCTCCCCGGCCCCTTTCACCTGGCTCTTTTGTCCTCAAAGGGTTAGAAAGAGACATTAGGGTCCAAATTGAGGCCCAAAATGAAGCAGCAGCTTATTTGGTAAGTCAGATAAAAAGTCATGATCCTATCTGCCACTGCCTATCCCCCCTCAAGAAAAAAAAAAGTCATGATCCCATATTTCAACAATCTGGTCATTTTCTTCTTCAATTTATACAGCTATGTTCTAATATCTGAGCACTTGTATACCTCAAGGGTAACAATGCAAATAGGGCAAGTCTCCCTTTCTTGAGGGAAAAATTCTCCCCATGCTATTTGAGCATCTGTTCTCATGCTGAAATGAAATCATCCAAAGTTAGGGCTACTCAGCCCAGCAAGGGATGTGCATATCAGTCTAATTATGGGGAAAGTGGCAGGCAGTAGTCTGGTCATACCTAGCAAGGCCATTCATGATGAATGGAGGAAGAATAGGTTTGTAGGGTACACGGGGAGCAAGGCAGTCAGGAACATCAGAGGGGACCAGTTTGGCATATGAAGGGCTCAATTCTCCTACCCAGGGCCCACTATGGAGATGTTTTTATTAAAATGCATATGTTATGGGTAACAAGTGAACTCCCTACGACCCAGGTGGGACCTCTTCCTCCAGAGGTGGGTCAAGCCAAGGACCCCAAAGGGGCAGACAGTTTCCCAAGTGGTAAAAGGGAGCCAAATGAGAGAAGCCCTCCCAGGCCTAAGAGAGAAGGCATAGGAAATGGTGTGAGGTGAGTCTGGGGAACCCACAGGATTATGGAGCCCGTTGGACGCCTGGGACAGTCTGGTGCTCCTCAGCTGTGGCTGTAGATTTCTCTTCCTTGGCCTCCTCTGAAGACAGGCTCCTCTTTTCCGCAATTAATCTTTTAACTCCCACCATCCACTGACTGACCTCAGTCACATGGTCAACCATGAGTGAGCGGTGGATGTCATCTGCTGCATCCCACTGGTGGCTGGAAAGCTCTGAGGAGAGAGGGGCTGAGCAAGCAGCCTGGGGCAAAAGACATAGCTCCCCCTCCTCCCTTCCCAACCAGTCAAAATCTCAGCACCTATTCCAGCTCAGCCAACCAAGGCAGGATGAGGGATTTAGGCTGTACCAAGGGATCCACTCCTACCTTGCACCAGCAGAGCCATCCTCTTCTTTACAGGCGTTGACAGCTTCCCTCCAGCCCACTGTTCCTGCAGCAGAGCCAGGCGTCGGCTGATGTCATCACATACCTGCTTCTGAGAGACAGAATTCTCCTCCAAGTCAGTGCTGCCAGCCCAACCAGGGGCAGGGGAAAGGCAGCACCATTTAGGAAGCACCTGCTTTCTCTGGCCCAGGAACTTTACACTTAATCTTACAGTTCTGGTTCTTTACCCAAAGGTTAGAGGCCCCACTGAGAATCTGATGAAACCTATGGCTCTCCTCCCAAGAAAAATGCACGTATAGCTAGAGTTTTAAAATTTCTGGAATTTCTCAGACCATCAGAAACTCATTCTGGAGTGCTGCTTTACAAATAAGGAAACTAAGGACCAAAGAGGTAAAAATTACTAAGGTACTTTCCTTGAAGACTCCTCAGATCCTTTGCCTCCAGAAAACTTAGGAAACACTACTTAGATAGAAAAAGGGAGTTTCCCTCTCCCTCCTTTAGCACAAAATCAGCAGGGTGTGCTCTGAATGGCCTGGAGGTACAAAAATAAGGCTGTTATCACTAATGGGAGTTAAGTTCAACTCTTGTTCCTACAAGCCTCTTCTACTGACTGGTCTTCAGAAGTCACATGAACCCTCCTGAAATCCTGTGTTCCTATTTCTGGGAAGTCCTTAGCAGATCCCCCGAAGGGGTCCATAACTCAAAAAGGGTTAAAAGCCATTGCCTGTAGGGTCACACGGTCTCTCTCTGGGAGCCATACCTGCATCTGGCTGTCGATGGGAGCCCTCCCCAGTACCCCACTGGTATGCCAGGGCTTACCTTTGTGTGGCCACGGCAGTCCTCCAATGCCTGTTCCAAAGGTTTCAGCACATCTTCTAGTAGAGTCTCACACTCAATGACTGGGAAATTTGTGGGCTCCACAGTGGAGGCAGGACAACTCCCCACAGGTGGGGGCCTGGAAGCCTTACTTGAAAGAGGTGGAGGCCCCATTGGGGAGGCCCCAGGAGAAGTCTCTGAGATAGGAACTGAAAAGGTAAAGCAGGATCAAGCAAATATGGCTTAAAAAAGTAAGAAGCTCAACTATAACTTCATCCCTTCTAAAAAGGGCTACTCTCTGGGACAACTCATTCATTCAAAAATGTATATTTTGGGGGGGCCAGCCTGGTGGCGTAGCAGTTAAGGGTGCGCGCTCTGCTGCGGTGGCCCGGGGTTCGCAGGTTCGGATCCCGGGCACACATTGAGGCACCACTTGTCAAGCCATGCTGTGGCGGCGTCCCATATAAAGGAGAGGCAGATGGGCACGGATGTTAGCTCAGGGCCAATCTTTCTCAGCAGAAAAGAGGAGGACTGGTGACGGATGTTAGCCTAGGGCTACTCTTCCTCACACACACACAAAAAAAATGTATATTTCTGAAGTCCCTACTATGTGCCAGACAGCGTGCAAGGCTCCAGAGATATAGTAGTTAGGTTCCTGACCTCAGAGAGCTTAAATTCTAGAGGAAGGAGGAAAAAAAGAAAATTACCAAATTATACTGCATGCTATAAAGAAATAAAATGGATGATGTAATAAAGAGGAAGAGTAGAGGGACCTACCTAGGCTAAGTGTTCAAGGAGGGCTTTCTGAGGTGACATCTAAGTTTATCCTAGCTCACACAGAATATGACATTTGGCAAGTTACTTTTAACCTCTAAGCTTTGGGTTCCTCTTCTGTAAAATGGGGATATTATAGTAATAGCACTTATTTCACATGGTTGCAGTGATGATTAAGTAAGAATATAGGTACAGCTGCTAGATTAGTGAGTAGCAAAAAGTGCTCACAAAGTTAAGGACTAATGAGTGAGATAGATGCAGCCAGGAAGAGTTGAAGGAACTGTGTACTACGTAGACGTAAGGGCAGTGCCCAAGAGGCAGGAAAAGTCCTGACTTGTTCAAGGCACAGAAACGAGGCCTGCGTGGCTGGAAATTATTAACACTAAAGAAAATAATATGAGCTGTCACTGGAGAGATAAACAAGGAGTCCAGACCCTGCAGGGCTTTGGAGGAGCTTGGTCTTGAGCCTAATGGTAATGGGAAGCCACTACAGGTTTATAAAAGCAGGAGGTGATGTGACTAGACTTGTTTTTTGTTTTTGTTTTTGGTGAGGAAGATTAGCCCTGAGCTAACATTTGTTGCCAATTCTCCTTTTTTGCTGAGGAAGACTGGCCCTGGGCTAACATTCGTGCCCATCCTTCTCTACTTTATATGTGGGACACCTGCCACAGCATAGCTTGATAAGTGGTGTGTAGGTCTGTGCCCAGGATCCAAATCTGTGAAACCCCGGCTGCTGAAGCGGAGCACATGAACTTAACCACTACGCCACCAGACAAACCTCTAGACTTGTTTTTTAAGATGTTTGCTCTATGCTCTGTGAAAAACTTGATGAGAATAGGTCAAGAATGGAGGCAGGGACAACAGCTGGGAGGTTAATGGGAGTAGTCCAAGGAAAAAAGAGAATGCTGGCATGGACTAGAGTGAAAGAGTAGACAAGGGTAAATAGAGTATTCTGAGATTTATTTAGAAGGAGGTAGCAACAAGACTTGGTGGATTGGGGGTGAGGGAGAGAGGAGTTAAGGATGACTCTTGGTTTCTGACTTTAGTAATGGGATGGTGGAACCACTACAGAAAAAGAGAAGACTGGAGGAGAAAAGTCAAGAATTTACTTTTAGGCATCAACATCCACACGAATGATTAATTCATCTGATAATTTGGCCTCTCAGTTTCTTGACCTCCTCACTCCAATGACCATTTTTTCCCCCTCTTCAGCCTCCCATTCCCCTCTGCTTACTTCTCAACAACACTGTACCATCTTCAAAATCTGACCACCCTCCTACCCTTCCACCTCAGCTAAACACTCTTACCTCACTTATCCCCTCCCATTGTCTCACTCTCCTGTAAACCCAATTTGCCTTATTTGTTGGGAGGAAAAACAGAACAATGCTGATGAGTTAAACTTTAACATTCATGGCTACAGATTTTAAAAGGTACCCAACATTGCCTGGAAATCCTACACTTTGCCTCCTTCTTCTACTCTGCAGAACAACTATTTTCACATCTTATCTCTAAACTTTTCTCCTTTCTCCCCCTTCTTTTCCTTTCCTACTGTCTCTACTTCTGACCCTGCCTCATATTTCATTGAGAAAATAGAGGTCATTAAACAGGAAGTCTCTCATCTTCTCACCACCAATTCTACTAACCCACCTGCATCTGTGGCCACTTTCCTTCCTCCTCTAATAAGACAATAGGTTCCTGCTCCTATCAGAGGCCATCTCTCCAGCTGTACTCTGTATCCCAGCCTCTCTTGCCTTCTCTAGGCTTCCCACCTGCAGTTATCCCTTTTCCCCTGCCTGCACCATCAGTTCTCCCTCTCTTCTGAATCATCCCATCAGCATACAAACACTCCAGTGTACTATCTTAAAAACAAAAACCCTCCCTTACCTCACATTCCATCCTCAGGCACTGTCCCATTTCTCATCTCTGCTTCACAGCAATTTCTTGAATGAGCTGTCTGTAGTCACTCTCTCTACTTCTTTTCAAATCCTCTCCTCAGCTGCTCCTCAGCCCATTCCAGCTGGGTTTCTGCTCTCATCACTCCACAGACTGCTTTTGTTAGGGTCACCAGTGATTGCTATGTTTGCAAATCTAGTGGTCCCTTTTCTCTGTCTTACTTAACCTCTCAGCAGCACGCATCATGGTTAAGTCAAGATTTTACTCTCTCCCACAGTAAATTTTACTTTTCTTCTCATTTCTTTGGCTATTTCTCAATCTCCTTTGCTAATTCCTTCTCTACCCAACCTTGAAATGCTAGAGAGCCTTAGGGCTCTGTCTTGGATCCTCTCTAGGCCTCTATCCACACACTCTCCTTAGGTAACCTTATTCAAGCCCATGACATCAAATACCATCCATATGATGGTGACTTCGTTTCTTTAATTCTGGCCTAGACCTCTCCCCAAAATAGCAGCCCAAATTTAACATGGCCAAGACAGAAAGTTTGCTTCTCTCCTCCCCCAAAAACCTCTATCCTCTAGTCTTCCTATATCAATAACAATACCAGCCAGTTCCTCAAGCAAAAAATGTAAGTTACATGGATTCTTCTTTCCCTCACCTCCTCTATCTACTCATTTCTACTGACTTTCTCCATAACATATCCCATATCAGTCCAATTCTTACCATCTCTAGTACTTCCACCCTTATCCAAATCATCACTGAATCTTGCCTATGTTACCATAATAGTCTCTTATTTGTCTTTCCGCTGCTTCCCTAAAATGTTTTTCACACAGCAGACAGAGTGATCTTTTTTAAGATGTAGTTCAGTCAGTGTTTCTCAACCTGCAGAGATTTTGCTCCCAGAGCAAATGTCGGGAGACACTTTTGGCTGTCACAACTGGGTGGGTGCTACTGGAGTCTAGTGGGTAGAGGCCAGAGATGCTACAAACATCCTACAATGTACAGGACAGTCCCTCACAACAAATAATTATCTGCCCCAAAATGTCAATAGTGCCAAGGTTAAAAAACCCTGGCTTATATCATGCCTCTGCAGTGTTACAGGTGTGAATAATGGAGGGGTGCTAAGAGAGCTGAATCTGAGCCCCTTTCTCTGGACCACAGCCCCACCTATTGGCATGAGAAGTGCTCAGGGGGAGAGGCAACCCTCCTCTGCTTTAAACTTTACATAAATTAAAATACAAACTCCTTACCCTGGTTTACAAAACCCACTATGGTCTGGCCCCTGCCTACTCCTCAGATCTTAATCACTATCCCTAGCCCACTGTGCTCTAGCCACTAGTTATTCCTTCAGTCTCTGAATTTGCCAAACTTGTTCTCAGGGTCTTTGCACTAGCTGTTTCCAAAGCCTGGAATGCCCTTGGGCCTGATCTTTGTGTGGACAGCTTTTAGTCATCACTCATTTCAGCTTAAATGTCAGCCCCTCAGACACTTACCTAGTCACTCTCACATCACCCTGTTTTATTTCTCTGCAGAGCCCTTACCACTATTTCATGTGTCTATCTCCAAAGCTAGAGTGTGGACTCCACGAAAACAGAAACCTCTTGTCTTGTTCACTGCTGTCTAGTTCACCTTCAAACAGTAGCTGGCTCATAGTAGATGCTCTGTAGATAATACTGATTAAATGAATGAATAACACGTTAAGTCTGAGATGCTTATTATATAGTCAAGTGAAGATGCAGAACAGGCAAACAGATATACCACTATGGAGTTCTGGGAAGCAATCCAGGTTGGAAATAAATTTGAAAATAATTTGAGAATAAAAACTATACTAAAAACCATAGGTCTGGATGAGATCACCTAGGATGAAAGCATAGAGAGACTCTTTTGAAACTAACGTACCTGAGCAGTAGAGAAGGGGCTAGAAAAGGGCCTGCCCTGAGCCCCTTTCTGGGGCTCCAACCTCTCTCAGGAAGTCCTCAGAGGAGCAGAAAGGATCCTCGGGACAAGCTTATCCCTGGCACCACCCATTCTCGACCGGTCTCCGCGCACAAGGTCCCCACGCACCTCTAGGGGATCCATCTTGGGGGGCGGCGACCCTCTTGGTGAGCGGTGTGCGCTTGGGACCGCCAGCCTGGGTCTGCAGCCCGTAGGAGAACTGCGGTGGGTCGTTCCAGCCGCGCTCCTTGTTGCCTGCGGAGGGGAGGAGACGTGTCAGGTCAGCTGGGGAGAGATGGAGGGTCCGCACTCCGCACGGTAACCACCCCCAGCCTGGGCATGGAACAGGACTCAGCGGCCCAGCCGCCGGCAGCGCTCACCCGGCTTCACGTACAGCTCCGCCATCTCCGCTTCCGCACGGCCAACGGGGCAGCGCGTCACTTCCGGGGCGGCCGCACATCCGAGCCCATTAGTGCGCGCCCGGGACGGGGCAGGTTGTCTGGAGCCTTCCAGGTAAGATAGTTGTTCAGAAACGCCAGGAGCCGCTGTGGGGACGTTGTGCCTACTCCCTGAGGGACTCGAAGTCTCCAGCTAATAACGCCTCAGGGCCCTGATCACAAGGCACCAAACGGGCCTGTTTTCCAAGAGGCGGCGCTCCAAGAGCCCTAGTCCCTTCTGGATCCAATCTCTCTCTCTCGGTTGCTCTCAAGAGCGAGTGTCAACCATGAGAAGCTCCTGCCGCACATATGCCCCTCTGTGATCTAGCCAGGTGGACTTATAGAATCTCACCTCCGACCATTGCCCTGCACATTTATTCTCTCTAGGCTCGATAACTAGTACTCTTCTTTGAGTACTCAGATGTCAACCCTTCATGAAGCCTAGTAATGCCAAAGTCCAGGTTAAGTGTTTCACCTGAGCTCCCACAACCGAGATCTTCTAGTTGTACTGCATATTATTTTCTGTCTTGTTTATTTGACTCTTGTTCGTCTCCCCTTTTGACAGTTTCAGAAGGTGGAAACCCTGACTATTTTATTACATCCCCAGTGCCTAGTTTAGTGCCTGGCACAAAGAAGACCTTAGAAAATATATTTGTTGAATGAATGAAGTAAGATTTCCATCATACTCATGCCTTCATGTGATTACAGGCAGCCACCAACACCAAGCACAGACACAGACACTCTCCTCACACAGGTTAACCCCCAACCCTGTCCCAGGCCCAATATACTCACACCCAATGAGGTCACTGAGGGATTTTTATTTGTACTGATTTTGCTATAAAGTGTTGCTGAGGTAGAGCCAACTGTCCAGGGCTGGACAGGGGCAAGGAACACAGGGACCCAGGGAAAGGAGAGCCAGGGGCCTAGGTTGTGGTGCAGGGCCTCTTGGTCATCCATATAAACAGTTAATAAATTGGGCAATAAATAGAGGGTGGGCAAGGTTGGAAGGACAGGCAGAGAAGGCTGCAGGCCCCTAGGGAATGAAGGGGTACAGAGTTGGGCATGGACCCAGAGCCTCCTTCTCCAGTCCTCCCGGATCAATTTAGGGCATATGGAGCAGAGAGGGTTTCAGCCGGAGGGCATCAAGAAAAGAGAAGACACCCCGCTTTCGAGGGGCTGCCCCAGCACCCCCAACCCCTCCTTTGAGTAGAGGGAGAGGCACAGGACCTCCCGGGGAGTCCACGGAGCTGGTCCGCTTGAGCCGCAGGCGGGCACGGGCCTGGGCACCCCAGGCCTTGCCTCGAGCTGCAGAGGCCACAAGACACTTCTGGTACTGAACCTAGGGAGAAGGGGAATGTGAGGATTCAACTCCTTTCTGCCCCTGGACCCTGAAAGCTTCTGCAGGACAGGGAACTGGCCAAGGTTTCAGTCTGATATGAGGCTGGTAACCTGCCACATCTGGAGCCCCTACAGCATTCCCATAAACATAAAATAAAACTTGACATTTATTGAGCATTTAAGGAGGGCTAGACATTGTGCTAGGTGCTCTGTATAATCTAACTTAATCCACAGTTTTTTATCAGGTGTTATTATCCCCATTTTGCAAATAAGAAAGTTGAAATTCAGAGAAAATACATGACTTGCCCAAGGTCACCTAGCCAAAGAAATGATAGAATTGAGATTCAAACCTAGTTCTGTCTGACTGCAGAGTCTGTGCTCTTAACCACACCTACCACTATGCTGACTGGCCTCCATCTCATTGGACTGGACTGGCCCTGGCAAAGAGGATTCCCTAATGAAAGGGAGGGTCTACAATCCACACTCCATTCCCAATGCAACTGCCCCAATCTTCTCTCATTTGAACTCAACGGCGTCCTAAATGGTCTTCCTACTTCTCTTGTGTCTTCCAAATCTTTTACCCACACTTAATAGGTCTTCCTAATCTACAAACCTGACTTCAATGTCCTGCGCAAAATGTTTAAATGGCTCAAAGTGCCTCAGTATAAAATAAACTCATCACCCTGACCTATAAGGTCTTCCATGACCTGGTTTCTGCCATTTTTTTCTGCCCCCATCTCTCACTCCATCCCCCTTGCACTCCAGATACACCAGATTCTTTCAGATACTCTAATCCACTAACCTCTTTCTCACCTTCACAGCTGGGGTTCCCTATACTTGGCACACCTTCAGTCCCACTCCTCTTCACCTGGCTAACTTTCTCCTTGGATCTTCACCTCTCAGTTTTCTATCACCTCTTTCACGTAGCCTTCTTGAACCTGAAGGTGCCGTCTCCATCATCCTGTGGTGTACAACTTCTTTTTGCTCTGTCTCTGCTCTAACCTAAGTGTTCTGTATGGTCAAGTGTTCTGTAAGGTCAAGTATGGTGCCTGGTACCCCGCAGGCACTCATATTTGTTGAGTGAATGAGTGAGCTGAACTAACAGAGTGCAAGCGTCCCACACTCAAATGTCCACAGATACTAGGAAATAACCTAAATGAGACAAACAGGAAAGACAATGCCCACCCTACAGCGCACAGGCCCTACACAATTCCAGATGAATGCTGCAATTTATATGTGGACCCAGTGTCAGAGTTGCTGATATTTTAAGAAAAACAGGAATAGCAATTATTATGTGAAATGTCCTGGCCTTTAAATATTGGCAACTAATTCAAACTTAATAAAAACAGCACGAGGGCCAAATAAAATGCTATTAAACAATAATCATCCCTGGAATTGCTGGCCTGTGATCTCTGGAGAGGTTGCCGATCCTGAGCTCCAGTCACCAGTACAGAGAAGCTGCAGGGCAGCCCCACCACCCATTCCCACTCCTAACTCACCATGCAAGCAGCCTGCACAGCTTCAGAGAGTCCCCCTGCATGGGGCTGGCACCAGAAGGCCGCGCACTGGAAGCTCTGATGGCCCAGGTCGGCAATGAGGCCAAAGGTGTGTGGGTCGCGGCCAACACCAATAAAGGTCACAAGTCGCACAGGGCACTGCCACAGTGGCTCCTCCTCTGCACCAGCCTCTGCCTGCCCACACCAGGCCTAGTCACTAGAGGGCCAGGCACTGGCTGGACCCAATGAGCGCTTCTAGCAGCAAGCAATGACCCCTCAGCATCCCTGCCCAACCCTCCACAACCCCCAATTTCACCTTCTTCTGGCTGATACCTGAATGGGATGTGCAGTCATGAGGGAGTCAGACACACTGAGCATGGCAGGGACCCAGACATCCCGGTCCCCCCGGGTGGTGAGAGTACCAATAGCCTCGTTCAGCACGTCCATGCCTGGGGGGACATGCCCACCATGGTGTCTCCCAGATGTAAAGAAGGAAAGGATCTGCAGGGAGTGTCTAGGCCCCTCACTGACTTGGGATTCAGAGAGATGGGAACAGCTAGGGCTGGGCTTCAAATCCTGAGTTGGGAAGGCTGGTACATCCCAGGCTGGAGATGGCCATGGGAGCTCTCTGAGAAATAGTGGTAGATCCTACCTAACCCACCTTCCCCCTTGCCTTCTGCAGCCTACCCGCTCCAGTGCACTCAGTCCTCACCCATGGCTTTGGTGACTGGCAGGGTCCCCACGTACAGTGCCTCGTACTTCTGAGCAGCCTGGCTCACCGCATCCAGCAGCTCCACTGAAATGTACACACCAAGTTGGCCTGGGCACTACTCAATGACCCCTTTCCCCACCCTTCTGAGAGAATTGGAGGTAGCAGAAGAAAGGCCATGGATGCTCCTCTAATTTAGGGCTTGGGATCCCTGGGACAAGGACACCTCAGAAGTCCCCTATCTCCAGAGAAGTACTAAATAACCAGGACCCCTTTCCCATCTTTCACCAAAGTAGCTTGTTGCTGCAATGCAGAATCTCCCTCCTCATACCTTGCCGTGGCAGGTCTTCAGGGGAGATGGGGTCTAGGGAGCAGCAAGGGGAATCACTACTGATCCCTACTCGCTCTGACAAGATCTGAAACATAATGCAGCCAGCATGAGGCACAGGGAGAGGGGAATTGAGGTAAGAAAGCCAATACCACCCTGCCCCAACCACCTTGACAGCTCCAGACCCAGCTTCATACCTACATTCCCTGCCCCACTCCTGGCCCTTACCTGGGCACAGAGCCCGTGGAGGGCACTGGCAATGGCCTTGGCAGGGACGTCACAGCGAAAGACATGGCACTTGAGCATACAGCTGTCTTTGTCACCCGCCACAAAAGCGAAGTCCCTGGCAGGGTCAGAAATGGGGCTGGGGCAGGGGCAGAGATGGGGCTGGGGTTGGGGCAGGGGCAGAAATTGGGCTAGGGTAGAGGCTGCATAGGAGCAGGGGCCTGCAGTGCCTACAGGAGGCTGGAAAGTTAGGCAAGGGACATGGCTGGGATGGAACAGGGAGGTCAGGGCTGGGGCTCTAGGCACCTGGCTGTCACTCACCTGTCACTGTTCCCGCAGCATGTGGGAGCACAGGAGAAAATCAGCCCAACCTCTCAGGCTCTGCCCCATCCGTCCCTGCTGAGCTGGGCCCACCCTCCCAAACCAAGTCTGGACCAGGCAGGGGAGGCAGAGCTTGGGTCCTTGACAGAGGATCTGTGTCCGGGAGGTCAAGTACAGGGGATCAGCATCAGTGGGAATCACAGCCTGCAGAGTGGGGGGAGGAGTAACTCTCACTTGGAGGGATATAGGGGTCCTCACCGGCCCTTGGAGCTGCCCACACCCCATACACGGATGTGCACCAGAGGCTGGCAGTGGATCAGACTGTGGTCCAGGGGATTCACCAGGCTCATGGTGTCCTTCTTCAAGATCATCAGCATGTTCTGACCCTGCCAAGGAGAGGTCAGCCTGGAGCTCAGATAAAGGTGACTGCCATAGGGAACAGGCAATTCAGGGACAACTACCTCTGCTGGACCTTGGGCTGAACCCCTTGAAAGGCTAGCCAGCTCACCTCGCCCCAGGCACCATCTGGGGGCTGGCTCCGGCTGCGGGTCTGGGCCAGCTGCTGAATGCAGTTATTGACTGCAATACTGCTCTTCCCTGGCACCAGGTCCTCTTCAGGTACCTCTACCCAGCCCAGAGAGCGGACTGCAAAGCACTGATGGGTTGGGGGAAAGGACAGGAGGGCCCTGAGTGAGTAGAGGTGGAGTAGGGTGGGAGGTGCCACAGGCTCCACACACATAAACCCTCTGATACCCCCTCTCTTCACCCTTGATCACCTCTGCCTAGCCCAATCCGACCCCTGAGGTTTCCCTTGGGACCCTCCCCAATGCCCTGGGCTGGCCGTTAGGCCCAAGTCACTACCTTAGCCCCGGGCTCCACACTCTGGATGTAGAATTCCTCACCATACCAGGATAGAGAGTTACTGGAACAGAGCAGAGCTGGTAAGAGGACCACATTTCCTACAGAAAGGACACTTGTGAGGCCCAAACTACATAATGAGCACAAGATGTGAGATAAGACTCAGAATATAATGTCCCAAATACAAAACAAGAGCAGGACAGGGCCCTGGACATATTAAATAAATGTAATATAGATGGGGCTTAGAATTTGAGGAAAAATTAAGGACACAAGACATAAAATAAATGTTGCAAACATGAAGCAGTTTCCAAAAGGTGGACCACAGCTCCAAATCGGGACAAGACACCCTGGAATAGAAGACAGGAACCTCCATGGACAGAGCCTAGGACAGTGGCCAAGCTCTAGAACATGATAGATTAGGACCCAGAATACGGAAAAGAACACGTAGCAAAAAACAGCTTGGAACAAGGGACAAAACTCAAAATACTGAGAGTCAAGAACATGGGACAGAGCCAAGAACACAGAACAGAGCCCTAAACATGGGACATAGTCCAGAATCTGAGCTGGAAAACAGACTGTGGGTCCAGCTTGATCTTTTAAGTGCCATGGAACCCCAAGCCATTCATTTTGCCTGGCCTATCCCTTTTACCTCCGGTCCAGTGAGCTCTCCAGGCTGGAGAAGGATCTCCCCTTGGGGGGCCGAAGTCCCCAAATCCCCTCCGTCCTCTGTAGAGAGGGGGCTAGGTCAGTGTAGCAGCAAGTCTAGGTCCACACATGGGCTCAGGCCCCCTCCTCACACTCCACCTACCGTGCCTGGGTCCTCTGCATCTCCTGGCTCCCAGGTTGGGCGCTGCCACTGGGTGCTACCGCTGGGTACGTGCCAATAGTAAGTACCTGCAGCATCGTGGATCTTCCTCCAGCCAGGGGGCAGGCCTGGTTCCCCCTCCAGACTCTGGTCCCCCCACAAGTCATCTACAGGAACACGAGATGGGGAGGGGGAAGACGGGTTTGGAGAGGGAGGGCATACTCATAGGTTCAGAATAATACCTTGTCATAACCCTTCCTCCATCCCAAAGGGGACAACCCTTAGGCTGGAGGTGCAGTCTGAGGGTCCAGGCTCCCAATCTTGGATATTGCAGTGCAAAGATCCGGGTTCATTTGTCCCCTAGTCCTCAACCCGAGACGTACCCCCTGCCCTGTCTTTGAGCCCCGGGGTAGCCTCCCTAACCCTAACCCTCTTCCCCTCTGAGCTCCCGGTCCTCCCATCGGACCCCTCCGTGCACACCATCGCAGTTGACCAGAATGATGGCCAGCATGTAGTCCTTGCCCAGCATAGCCCCGGCTGCGTCCCCGCCGGCCTTCGCCGGCCTGCACTCTCAGCCCAGCTCGACCTCCGCAGCTGCTGCGCCTGCAAGCCCAGCCTTCTGTGCCGGAGTCCGCCGGGCCAATGGGCGTCGCACAAATACCGGGCGGAGCAGGGGCCGGGTCCCGTGGGCGGGAAAAACGGGCCTGGGCAGCGCCGCCCGCCGCCTGCGTAGGGGTGGAGCGAGTAAACAGGCGTCTAGATCTCCGAGACAGTGCGCGTTTCCGTGCGTGAGTATGGGCGAAACGGTCGCCAGCCCACCCGCTGACATCACGCCGCAACTATGAGCGCCTCAAGCGGCGGAAGACTGGCCAGGCGAACGTGCATCGCGCGCACATGCGCACGAGTGAGATCATCGCGCCCAGGTCGTATGCGCGCGCGCACACACAGCCTGGGACGCGCCGGGATGGGTCACGTGGGAATATCTGGGAGAAGGAGACCTCCGGGGCTTGGCAGCCAGGAAAGCGCCTCCACCCTTTCCAAAAATGCCCCGGAAGTGCCTCCGCCCTCAGTAAAGATGGCCGTAGCCCTTGATACTAGGGGGGCGGGGCTGCGCCTGCGCAACAAGTTCGGCGGGGAAGATGGCGGATGACAAGGTGAGTGAAGGTGGGGGTGATCTGCAGTCGGGTGTGATGTTTACACCTTTTTAGTCCTGAGGAGAGAAGACACTGGAGCGGCTCATGGGTAGTGTACCTCTTGTTACCCCTGGGAGCGGGCTTTTGCTCCTGTCGACTGCTTCAACAGTGGGGAGTAGAGTGCCTCCGCAAGGCAGGCGGAGTCGGGGATTCCCCAGGCGTCCCCTCCCGGGGGACCGTCACGATCTCTGAGTACTCGGACACACTCAGACGCTTTCGCTCTGACATACTTCTCACTCTGCTCTATTCCCTAGCCCTCGAAATTTTCCTCCTAGAGACACGATGTTTCCAATTCACACGGACACTCACGCCCTTGTTCAAACACTGTCTTGCGCACACACTGCATTTCATACTTATATGCGATCAAAACCACTCAGTTCATTTATCCCCACTCCTACAGACAGCCATTCCCTGCTCCTCCCTCCTGCCCCCCCGCGCATACAGTCACACATTCAGTTTGGGATGGCCTTGCGAGAAAAGAGGGAGAAGCCCAGGAAGAAATCAGATTTGCCCCCAAATTGTCCAGGGAACTGCCTCAGGCCATTACTCACCATTGGTCTGGAAGTTGAGCACCACTCACACATTTCCAAGTACTTGCCAGTCCCTGTGTTAAGCCTCGGAACACAGTAGACAAGACAGACTGGTGACCACTTTTAGGTAGCTTGTAGTTGAGTCATTAGTGCTTTCCTGATAGATCTGATTGAAGGTCCCCTAGCTGTCCTGCCTGCCTCCCCTACACACTGCTTGCTCTATAAAATTTTTGTTAAGGGTTGTTGAAAGTTACCGATGCATATCCCATCTGTCACCCCCTCGCTGGCCCCCGTGTGAATTCTGTACTTTTCAATGCCTTTCTTCCTCTACCACTGTCATCTCAGGAAGGTATTTCAGGAAGACGTTTCTCGGGGTCACCCCATTATCCCCACCCCCAGCCTCTGATAGACTTGAGCGGGGAATGGGGCTGGGTCTGTCTGCTGGAGCCAGCCTCTCCCTTGTCCTAGGATTCTCTGCCCAAGCTTAAGGACTTGGCGTTTCTCAAGAACCAGCTGGAGAGCTTGCAGCGGCGTGTGGAAGATGAAGTCAGCAGTGGTGTGGGCCAGGTAAAGCTGCGCCTGTCTCCTGTCCCCCCTTAGGCTTCATTGCCCAATATTGCTTTTAAATGGGTGGTGGAGATTTATTCAGCAAATGGTTATTGCGGGCCTGTTCTCTGTGACCCCAAGGAAAGTTTCCCTGAGAAAATGGTACATGAACTAGGATCTTAAATAGGGGTTCACTAGAAGAGGGGAGGAGGGGACATTCCAGGCATATGAAACAGCATATGCAAAGCCCTTGTGGTGGGAGGTAGCGTGATGAACATGAGGGGTGAAAGCAGTTCGGTTTGGCTGCAGTAGTAGGGGAACGTGCTAGGAAATGAGGCTGGAGAAGTGGGTCAGATTCTTCAGGGACAACTCTGTGGCCTTGTGACAGTAGAGTTCTGTGGTTGGAGCCTTCTAATCCCAGTGTTCTGAGAGTGTGTGATCAGGACTCCTAGGTTCTTTTTCTGCCTCCAGAACCTTGAGAAAATCTTTGGAGAGAATTCTGCAGCTTTCCAGAGTAAGGAGGAGCAGGTGGTGGGATACTCTAAGACAAGCTTGAGTAGCTCCTGGTTAGAGAAAAGGACTTGAGCCTAGCTGAGTTTCCTCCTGCATCTTCCTCCACAGGATGGCTCGCTGTTGTCCTCCCCATTCCTCAAGGGCTTCCTGGCTGGCTATGTGGTGGCCAAACTGAGGGCATCAGCAGTATTGGGCTTTGCCGTGGGCACCTGCACTGGCATCTACGCAGCTCAGGCATATGCTGTGCCCAATGTGGAGAAGACATTGAGGGATTATCTGCGGTCACTGCGCAAGGGGCCCGACTAGCTCTGGATCCCATGGGGGAGGCAGGATGAGCTGCTGGGGCCTGCAGGTGGAGGCCTTTCGAGCACAGACACCATATCTGGCTTCCTCGGCTGTCACCCATTTGCTGTGTCCAACTTTCCTGCCACCTTCACCCTTGCTTCCCTTCCTGCAAAGGGTGGACAGTGGCTCATCAGCCAGCACCCTGGACTCTGTCTTCCCTCCCTAACCCCATGGGACTGGCCCCAAGACTGCAGTTTCTAGGGCCAGCATCCCCTTTCCAGCCCTGACTGTGGAGTTTGCAGCTGACTCTGATCCTCAATATTTTCTCTGGTGTTGTACCACCGCTCCTCCCTCCTGGGAGCCAGCTCTGTAACTTGATTTTCCCCAAACGTGTCACAGTCTCCGCTGCCCCTCTAGCTACACAGGCCACCCAGGGTCTGGTGTGGGCATGAGTGTAGAGGACGGGGGTATGCCAGGCCTTGGCCATCCCAGGCAGGCCCGCTGGACCCTGATGCTACTTCTGTCCACTGCTATGTATGGTGCCCATGCCCCATTGTTGGCACTGTGCCATGTGGATGGCCGAGTGCCCTTCCGGCCCTCCTCAGCTGTGCTGCTGACTGAGCTGACCAAGCTCCTGTTGTGCGCCTTCTCCTTCCTGGTGGGCTGGCAAGCATGGCCCCGGGGGGCCCCACCCTGGCGCCAGGCTGCCCCCTTTGCACTATCAGCCCTGCTCTACAGTGCTAACAACAACCTGGTGATCTATCTTCAACGTTATATGGACCCGAGCACCTACCAGGTGCTGAGCAATCTCAAAATTGGAAGCACGGCCCTGTTCTACTGCCTCTGTCTCCGACACCGCCTCTCTGCACGCCAGGGCTTAGCAGTGCTGCTGCTGATGGCAGCAGGGGCCTGCTATGCAGCTGGTGGCCTCCAGGACCCTAGGAACCCCCATCCTGGTCCTCCTTCAGCAGCTGCTGCTGGCCCCATGCCCCTGCACATCACTCCACTAGGACTGCTGCTTCTCGTCCTATACTGCCTCATCTCAGGCTTGTCATCGGTGTATACAGAACTGCTCATGAAGCGACAGCGGCTGCCCCTGGCACTTCAGAACCTCTTCCTCTACACCTTTGGTGTGCTCCTGAACCTAGGTCTGCATGCAGGTGGCGGCCCAGGGCCAGGCCTTCTGGAGGGTTTCTCAGGATCGGCAGCGCTCGTGGTGCTGAGCCAGGCACTAAATGGACTGCTCATGTCAGCTGTCATGAAGCATGGTAGCAGCATCACACGCCTCTTTGTTGTGTCCTGCTCACTCGTGGTCAACGCCATGCTCTCAGCAGCCTTGCTGCAGCTCCAGCTCACAGCTGCCTTCTTCCTGGCCACACTGCTCATTGGCCTGGCTGTGCACCTGTACTATGGCAGCCACTAGCCCCTGACCCTATAGATTGGGCACCACCATCAGAGCCACCTCCCAGCCCTCCCCACCTCTCACCTCAGCGGCCCTGTAACAAGTGCCTTGTGAGAAAAGCTGGGGAAGTGAGAGCAGCTGGGTTAGTCTCTGGAGGTGGGTGGGTGAAGGCATACCCCTGGGAGACTTGAAGAGTGGGTTTGGTTAAGTAAATGCTTAACCCCCCCAAGTTCTTGCAGATTAAGGAATTGGAGGAGTGTCAATACCTAGGCCTCAGAAATGACCCCATCCCTGATGGAGGAGGCTTCTTGCCTTATCCTGCACGAATGCAGTTGCTTAAAGTGGGACATGGCCAACAGTTGGCTTTCCTTGCCTACTGTGGTCACCCTAGCAGACCCACTGCCCCCAGGCTTGGTGCTGGCTGCCGTAGCCCAGGTATGGTGCGTGACTCCCCCATAAGGGATACTCACTTCCCACTGTCATGTAGGAAAGCCCAATTGCCACAGATTACATACCCATCACCCAGGCCACTCTACCTAGCTGCCCTAGCTCCAGGAGCGCCTGGAGACAGTGCCCCCTGCTCCCTCCACAGTGCTGCTCTCCACACCCAGCCTTGGTTCTGGAAACCCCAGAGAAGGGCTGGGGCTTGACTCATCTCAGGGAATGTTGCCCCTGGGCCCTGGCTTAAGTCTACACTCCTGACCTCTCTGCTCACCCCAAGGGCCCTCTTGAAGCCCACTGCCCCCTCTATGGCTCGTAGGAGGTACCATCCTTTCCCCTCTGGGTTCTGCCCCTGCCTGGCAGTGTCCCAGCTCCCAACAGACTAGGGAAGCTCTACACAGAGTGACCTGGGACCAGGAACAGGGAAACTTGTATAGCTCAATCAGTGTCTCTAACTGCATAAGCAATAAGGTGTTAATAAAGTGTTCTGGGGTGTAGGTGGTGCCTATAATAGGCCATGATTGTTCTGTATCTTTTGTGGTGCATAGCTCTTCTCAAACATCATTTCGTTCCCCTGGTGCCCTAAGTATCGTAATCCTAGAATAACTTATAGATTAGGAGAAAAGGCTTTCTCCCAACTGTTGCCAGCAGCATTATTTCCTTTGAGGGCTCCATGGACCTGAGACTGTTCTCTGTCACAGAGCTTTTGAAATTTTCCTGAAGCACAAAACTTGGGCCTTGGGGAATTTGGAGGGAGTCATGGGAGTAGAAGGTGCTGGGTCAGACTCTAGGCTAGAGAACTTTTTTTTTTTTTTTTTTGCTGAGGAAGACCGGCTCTGAGCTAACATCTATTGCCAATCCTCCTCCTTTTTTTTTTCCCCCCCAAAGCCTCAGTAGATAGTTGTATGTCATAGTTGCACATCCTTCTAGTTGCTGTATGTGGGACGCGGCCTCAGCATGGCCGGAGAAGCGGTGCATTGGTGCACGCCCGGGATCCGAACCTGGGCCGCCAGTAGCGGAGCGTGCACAGTTAACC